AAGATGCTGGGATTTTGGGATGTGAGGCACAGAGGTTGGGGCTCAGGACAGGGAGGCCGAGACTTGGGGGGAAGATCTTGGGAAGGTCCTGGGTGTCTGTTGACCCCAGTCTGTGCCAGGGCTGGTGGAGGTGACACCGGAGCCCTGGTAGAGGGGGTGTAGGGCAGGCATTAGGGTCAAAAGGTGCGTGTGGGGTGGTGGGAAGGTGCTGAGATGTGGAGACCCAGGACAGGGATGTGGGGACACGGTGATGGGGTTGGGGCCACCACCAGCATACGCACAAGCACTACCACTACCAGCACTTTTGGTGCAGTAGTAGGTGGCCGTGTCGTCCTCCTTGAGGCTGTTCATCTGCAGCGTGACCGTGCTCTGGGAGTTGTCCCTGGAGATGGTGAAGCGACCCTCGACCGACGGCGCGTATTCTGTGCCACTACCATCCTTGCTAATTTGTGCGACGAACTCCAGACCCTTCCCAGGGGCCTGTCGCACCCAGTTCATGGTGACACTGCTGAAATCGAAGCCGGAGGCCTTGCAGCGGAGGGTGAGGGACCCCCCGGGTGTCACGGTGCCCCCTCCGGACTCCGTCAGCTCCACGGCCGCCCGCAGCCCTGGGGAGGGAGAGAGGAAGGAGACAATTGAGTCACCCCCAAGCTCCCCCCATCGCTCCCCCAGCTCCTCGCCCACTCCCCAACACCCCTGGGCTGTGTCCCCACATCTCAGCATCTCCCCAAAACCCTTCTCCTCAGCCTGGACCCATCCCCAAGCCCAGACCCCTCACCTGAGCCCACACGTCCCCTCCCTGGGTCCCAGCATCTCCCCAAAACCCCTGCCTGGTGCCAAACACACTTGCCCTGAGCCTCAATTCCCCTGAAACCAGCCCAAAATCCTGCTGGGTGCCCAAATTCCTGCTACAAGCCATCTCCTGCTGGGGCTCCATCTTCACCTTCAGCAGCTTCTTCATGAGCTGGGTGCGACAGGTGCCCGGGAAGGGGCTCAAATACGTCGCAGCTATTAACAGTGATGGTAGAACCACAGGCTACGCACCGTCGGTGAAGGGTCGCTTCACCATCTCCAGGGACAACTCCCAGAGCACGGTCACGCTGCAGATGAAGGACCTCAAGGAGGACGACACGGCCACCTACTACTGCGCCAAAGGTGCTGGTAGTGATTATATTGATGGTGGTGGTACTGGTGCTGCTGGTGGCCCCAACCCCATCACCGTGTCCCCACATCTCTGCCTTGCTTCCCCACATCTTCTTCAAACCCTTCAGCAACCCAGACATTTTTTCGCCAAGCTTTGACCCTTTCCATCAACCTTGAGTCCTTTAGCCCCATATCACAACCCTTCGTACCAAAACTCAACTAATGTTTCCCCAATCTTGAGTCTTTGCCCCCAGTTTCAACTCTGTGCTCTGAATTCCACCACTTTTATATCAAATCTTGACATTTTCCCCCAAGCCTCAACGCCTTTTGGCCAAATCTTGACTGTTTGCCAAAGTTTGTGCCCAAACCTTGACTGTTTGTCCACCCCCTTGATGAGTTTTGGCCCCAGTCTTGACACTTTGAGGCCAATCTCAACTGCTTTGGCCCCCAAACCTCCGTCCTCCAGGTTGTCTCCACCAAGGCTAGGACCAGGCTGGAGGAAGGACCAGGGAGACCTAGGGGGGGTGTCTCCCCTTCTGGCCCCTCCCCAGGACCAAGAAGCTGACAGAGTCTGGAGGGGGCCTTCAGACACCCCGGGGGGTCCCTCACCCTCCGCTGCAAGGCCTCCGGCTTCACCTTCAGCAGCTTCTGGATGCAATGGGTGCGACAGGCACCTGGGAAGGGGCTGGAGTGGGTCGCGGGTATTAACCCCAGTGGTGGTAGCACCTACTACGCGCCGTCGGTGAAGGGTCGCTTCACCATCTCCAGGGACAACTCCCAGAGCACGGTCACGCTGCAGATGAACAGCCTCAAGGAGGACGACACGGCCACCTACTACTGCGCCAAATTTTATAGTAGTGGTTGTTGTGGTGCTTATGCTGTTGGTGGCTCCCACCCCATCACCGTGTCCCCACATCCCTGTGCTGGGTCCCCACATTTTCCTCAAACCCTGCACCCAACCCAGCTCCTTGCCCTCAGCCTCGGCCATTGTCCCCAAGACTACTCTTCTTCCACCCAGCGAGGGCCCCCACAGCCTGGACCTCCGAATGGTGCCCCAACCCCAGCCCAGTGCAGAACCCCAACCCCCGGGGTCACCTCCAGAGCCAGAAACGTGGCCTTGTGGCACACAGTGAGGGTACACGGTGTCGGGGACGGGGCCACCATCAGCCCAACCACCACCACGAGCATCTCTGCCGCAGTAGTAGGTGGCCGTGTCGTCCTCCTTGAGGCTGTTCATCTGCAGCGTGACCGTGCTCTGGGAGTTGTCCCTGGAGATGGTGAAGCGACCCTTCACCGACGGCGCGTAAACTGTGGTACGACCAGTGGTGCTAATAACTGCGACCAACTCCAGCCCCTTCCCAGGGGCCTGTCGCACCCAAACCATGTTGTAGCTGCTGAAGGTGAAGCCGGAGGCCTTGCAGCGGAGGGTGAGGGACCCCCCGGGTGTCACGAGGCCCCCTCCGGACTCCGTCAGCTCCACGGCCGCCCGCAGCCCTGGGGAGGGAGAGAGGAAGGAGACAATTGAGTCACCCCCAAGGTCCCCCCATCACTATCGCTCCCCCAGGTCCACCTCTAAGACCTTTCTCCATGATCTGGATAGGGGATCGAGAGTACCCTCAGTGAGTCCCACCTAAGTTTTTGGGATGTGGATCTACTGGAGGGTGTTAACCCCAGTGGTAGTAGCACCTTCTACACGCCGTCGGTGAAGGGTCGCTTCACCATCTCCAAGGACAACTCCCAGAGCACGCTCACGCTGTAGATGAAGGACCTCAAGGAGGACGACACGGCCACCTACTACTGCGCCAAAAGTGCTGGTAGTGGTTATAGTTGTGGTTATGGTGCTACTCCATCACCGTGTCCCCACATCCCTGCGCTGGGTCCCCACATCTTCCTCAAACCCTTCACACAACCCAGGTCCTTTCCCTGAGCTTTGACCCTTTCCTTCAACCTTGAGTAATTTATCCCTAAATCCCAACCATTCCTACCAAATCTCAACAATTTCTGCCACAACTCAACCAACTTTTCCCCAATCTTGACTCTTTGCCCCAAGGGTTAACCTCCTCCCCCAAATTCAACCACTTTTGTGCCAAATCTTGACCATTTCCCCCAACCCTCAACACTTTTTGGCCCAATTCTTGACTGTTTGCGAAAGTGTGGACCAATTTTGACCAAAACCTTGACTCTTTGCCCCACCCTTGACTGGCTTTGGCCCAAATCTTGATAGTTTACAGCCAAACTCAGCTGTGTTTGTCCCCAACCCCCCTTTGCTGTGAGTCCCAGACCCCGACTCTGAGCCCAGACCCTCCTGTGCCCCAACTTACACCTTCCTGACCCCTTTGCCCCC